CTATCAGTCAATGAGCAGTATTGATTTCTATGTCCACAGTGTTTGTTCCTCTGTCTGTGTGTGTGTGTATATATATATATATATATATATATATATATATATATATATACTTTAAAGAAGAACAGACCACTTTATGGTTCCATTATAATAATTTATTTCACCAGAGACCTTTTAAAGGATGCTGGATCATCAGAATTCATTTTTCGTTTCATTTTTGGAAGTGCTATGATGATCTGGCATCTTTTAAAACTCTGAGGAAATAAATTATTATAATGGAACCTTAAAATGGTCTGTTTTTTTTAAAATATTAGCTCTGGATTTACATTGAGCTCTCAGATTTCATCCTCCTTGGGATTATCCATATGGATTACCAAGTTTTTCATAACTTATATATATATATATATATATATATATATAAATACTGTTGGCATATCTGATCCGGTGCACCTGTAGTACATCTTGGGATTCTTGACAACATACAAAGAAGGATGTTATCAATCCTGACCAGGCATCTCAACTTCAGTCACTTTCTCACAGGCATGATGTGGCTTTCTTCTGTCTTTTCTACAAACATTTTCATGGCAACTGTTTTAACAATCTTTTTTATCTGGTGCCCCAAATACATGAATTTAAGCATCTAGGTCCCACCCTTTTACTGTTGAAATAGCAAATGCAACTGCCACTTTTACTCCAGCAGTTTCTTTACTTGCACTTCTTGCCTGTGGAAATACCTTCTGTTACCTTCATTTTAACTAAGATCTTCAAAAATTTAAATGCAACATCAATTATCATCTGTCTTCTTGAACCCCATTCAACTTTTGTCCTTTCCTCAATCCTCCCTATTCTCAGCCTTCTCTTTCACTCTCACTTCCTTTAATCCCATGCATACTGGTGGCATTACTGCCTTGCTTGCGGTGAAATGATATATAAAAAATAGAGATTGATTGTTGATTGATTAGTTTTTTTTATGGCTTATCAACTTTTTGCAGGTTACTTAAAGCCAGAAAATTTTACTATAAATACATATTGTTGGTACTTTTTTTATATAAAATGTATTATTGACAATTTCAATTATTTGATATATATATATATATATATATATATATATATATATAGTGGAACCCAAACTTAGGAATGTCACCATATGAACAAAAATTTGTCAGAAAATTTATGAGTTAATTTCAACTTACAAAAATTAAGAGTGGGCTTCCCACTACTACATTTTAAACTAGTTATCTGATATAAATGTATTGTAAATACTTCTTAATCTTATCTAAATATACTGTATTTTATATTTCTATGTTTTAAATATTATATTATTATATATTCTATATATAATAATATAATACAGTATTATAATAGTTTTTTATACTGTACTCTACTAAATATTTGCAGATATATTTACATATATTTATACTTATATTTTTATGTTTTATATACAGCGTATATTATATTTTAGATACAGTACTGTATTATATTATTTTGCAGTACATATTTCAATACATTTCCATCACACTAGATGTAGTGCAGTGCTAGAAGCATTGCAACTTCCTGCTCAGACCTCTTTGTTACCTCGTAGAATAAACATTTGTAGTGTATGCATATTTGTGATTATACTCGTGTAAGTGTAAAAAGAATTAAGAATGTACAAAAATTTATGTACAGTAATGGATACAGTATTACAGTACAGTAACATGTAAATTTTATTAAAATTTATTGAATTAAAATAGGTAAAATATTACAATGTTGAGTTTGTTTCCTTTAATCTCTGTGTAAAGTAAAGTGTTTTAGTCTAATATACAGTGTATAAACATTGAATTTTAAACTGATATCAATACAGTACAGTAGAAAAATGTAAAAAAATATGAAGTTAGAGTAAAATAAAATGCAGGAATAGCATGTAAGCTACGCAGTGTAATAAATTACTCATCCAGTTCAGGTTGATTTGTACAGTAGATTTCATCACTGCAGTTTTTCCATACAGTTACTGTACTGTACAGTTTAATGTGTTACTGTAAATATTACTGTACGTGTACAATAAAATTTTAGTGGGTAATTTTTTGATAATCTTTGTAACCCACGATGTCACCCAAGAAGCTGGTTGCTACTAAGAGGGAAAAAATATCTTTGTAAATGAAGGAGATCATTCAGAAGGCGCCCGTGTTTCTGACCTTGTCAACCTATATGGACATTCAGCATCAACAATTTGCACTACCCGAAAGAACAAGATAGAAATAAAAAAGCTTGATGTAGCCAAGGGAGTTAGCATAATTATCAAGCTTCGTCTCAAAGCCCTGAAAGATATTGAGAAGCTGTTGTTGGTATGAATGAATGAGAGGCATCTATGAGGTGATTCTGTGTCTAAAGATATTAATGTGCAAAGACAAGGGCACTGTAGATGGATCTTGTCAGAAAAATACCAGGCACATCTTCTGAAGATGAAAATGCATTTCAGGCAAACCGAGAATGGTTTAAAAAATTTTTAAATATGGAACTGGCATCCGCATTGTAGACATGGAGAGGGTGCAAGCTCTGATAAAGCTACTTTGTTTCAGAGGTGTCTGAAAGTGACTGAAAATACAAACCTAACCTGAAGAGAATTTTGGAAGGATCACTTCATCCTAAATTGCTTTAATCTCATTGATAAAACCTGGGAAGGAGTCAGTGATATATTTATTTACATTATTTGTGTATAATCTTTAAAAAAGTACTTTAATTTTACATAAAATACAATTTTTATTGAATTTTTATATCAATATTTTTTGGGCTTGGAATGAATTAATTTAATTTCTATTATTTTAAGTGGGAGAAAATTGTTTTGACATGCAAAATTTCCAGTTACAAATCCACTCCCAGAATGGATTAAATTTGTACATCGAGGTTCCACTATTATATATAATTTGCAAGTTATTTAAAGCCAGAAAATATTTTTAGATTGTAAGAATTTTACATAATGATCTAGTGATAGTCTTACTAATTAACTCATAGCTGGGAGGATAAGAGGTAGATTCATACCTTTCTCAAGGGTATTTGCGTGTAAGTTAATATAATGAACCCAACCGTTATTGGAACTCAGCTCTTTGATTAAGAATTCTAAGAAATTATACATTACATTACCTGCATATCCAAGCTTACAGCACCTTGGTATTCCCAAAAGGTCACCCTTCTAGTTACTGACCAAGTTCGATATTGCTTAACTTCAGTGATTGTATAGGAACTGGTGTTTCAACATGATATGGCCATAATCCTAAAATACAAGAGAGATTGTGCATTTGTACATCTTTATTTAAAAATATAAAGAGAATTTCTTTTGACATCATTTTCATTTTTACTTTTCCTTCCATTTCCTCCTTTTATACTTTTCTTTTTTGTTTGTTTTCTTCTTTCAAAGCCATTGCTTTTATGCCTGTTAGTGACTCAGCTATGGGCAAATTGTGATCCCTCCAAATAAAAACATAGGTATAAAAATACATTTTTATAGTAAAAATACCAGCAATACTTTTTTAAATAAGAATATTACCAACAATACATTTTCATATAAAAATAATACCAACAATACATTTTCATATAAAAAAAAATTACCAACAATACATTTTCATATAAAAAAAAATTACCAACAATACATATTTATAGTAAAATTACCAACAATGCATTTTATCTGTAGTTGAAGGTATACATTTGCTTTCAAAATATATTTAGTTGAAACCATAAAATTGCATTGAAAATATTTAGATTTCTTCATTAAGTGACCCAGAAAAGTTGATATGCTACTAAACAAAATCAACCACCTAAACAAGCAACATGAAAAAAATCTTTGATGACATTAATCCATATAATATCCTACAACTGCTTAAAGAAATCAAACTGCATTCCAAAATATAACTTCAACAAAACTACAATATAAAACATACATATCACCGCCTCTAGTAATTATGTCCACATAAACATGTATATCCACAAAAGCTGAGTATCATCTAATATGTATTCAGTTGTAAAAACAGAATAACATATATTTTCATTTCTTCAAAACTGCCAAGAAAATTAAATTTTGTCATTAAATGACCCATAAGTAGTTGATATGCCATTAAACAAATAAATCAAATCATCACTTTTATGACCTTCTTACTTGGTTTTCAAGGAAACCTTTTTCATTCTTACTGAGAGTTTTATGAATTCTTTATTTTTGACGTTTTTTTTTCTTTGTCATATTCTCGCTTTCTTTCTTTTACCCATCCTTTCTTTCATTCATTATCTCTTTCTTTCTCTATTTTGTTGCCCCCCTCCTTTTTGTTTTTCTCTCACTAATTTTTATCACTTTTCTTATATGAAGTTTTCTTTCTGGAATTCTTTTTATGTTTATTTTTTAGAAACTATGCTTTCATTTCATTTTTTTTTTTTTTTCATATCTTTTAATTTTTCTACTCATTCTTTTCGATTTCTTTTTAATTCTTACCTATTTAATCTCTTGTTACTTCTATTGCTTCTTTCTACATTTTTTTGACTGTCTTTTTTTTCTTTCATTCCTTTTTTTTGTGAAGCCAGATTAGAATAAATCCGTTCATGCCGCCAAATAATTATCCAGCCTTAAGATCTCGTTGACTGGAAAACTGTGGTAACTGTCTTAGTTTTTTTTTTTTATATATAAACATGTCTGAATATGTTGATGTCTTGTGAAATGTCAAATAGTCTGTAACTCATCCAACCTTGTTCAAAACAAATGCCACTAACAATGGTTATGTTTTCCTCATCAGAGAATGTCTCATTGGTATTTCTTTTGTCATTTGGGGCTTATGGCCACATCATGTTGAAACACAGGTTCCCATACAGTCACCGAAGTTAAGCAATGTCAAGCCTGGTCAGTACCTAGATGAAAAACTGTTTGGGAATACTGTAAGTTTGGATGTATGGATGGTGTAATGGATAATGACTACGATAAACTAAACAAATTTGAATATTCAATAGAATTCACTTATGAAACAGAAACAATTAACCCTTTCTTTCCTAGATATCATCTTACATTGTACTGGAATTGACCTAAAACTAAGTGTCTATTGCAAATCAACTAAGAGAAATGATATTTTATTCTGGGGCCATCATAAACAAGTGTATTGCATATAGGTGTTTGGTCTAGTACCTCTCACCCAGCTACCACACTAAAAAAATTTTTTGAGAAAGACAATACTCCTCCCGTTTCATATAGTGGGAAATGCAGTGTAGTAATACATACACACATGCATTCTAAAATAGAAATATATGTACACATATGCACATATTTTTAAATTGATTTATGCAAAAAGCTGATGGAAATTTCTCAGTTTATCCAAGAAGAGATTAAAAAAAAATCTGTTTGGTCAGATTTTAAGGAGTGGGTTAAACTGAGAAATTGTTAATCCAACCCCCTGAACCACTTCAGAGATGTAAACATATTCTTAAACATATGGATTAAAAAATGTTAGAATAAAAACAAATTATGTAATTCACATTCTATTAAATTCATGAATAAAATTATAGACATGAGATTGATTTAAATGTTTGATTAATCCTATATATATATATATATACACACACACACAACACACTATTAATAAAAATGACATCAATGTTTTAATTCCTGTTTTACTTTGTGTGTGTCTGTTTTCATGAGGTATTAAATGATTCTGTTAATATTTCTTTAATACTTGAAACTCTTTCCCCTTACTCCCAATATTTGGTTGGTATTGTCTTTGTGATTTTTAAAATATATTGATCATGAAAATATACATATTCTCATGTTTCCTCCAGCTGTTGATGGAGTCAGATTTTATAGATTTTCAATGACAGCAGTTGGTTGTGTTTGAACCACTTGTTATAGTTCTGGGAAAACCAAATTTTGATCATTTGAATTTTGAAGCTCTCTTAGGTGCTTATAAAAAATATTAATTATACTTACAGTTTGTAAGTTTTACAAGTATTTAAAATGACAATTGGAAAAACTTTTGTTTCACCCATTTTACGCATCATCAGAATGAAGATAAAAAAGTTAATTGTGTATGTATGTATTTGTGTTTATTTAAAAAAATGAAATCATATTTTCCCAAGCTGGTGTTGCTCATGACTAGTAAAGAAAGAAAATGAGTGAATTATTTATTTATTTTTTTTTGAAACATTATAATTTCATGAATGTTTTTTCCAATTGTCATTTAATATATAACTCTATCATTTACCCAAATTCTTAACACAAGTACTTAAACTTACTGGTCATGGTTAGTCTTGGGTAAAGTATATTTTTTAAATGTTTTTCAAATTTCAGCTGATAAAATTAATGACTAAATAAAACTCTAGATCAAAATTTATATTTGTTTAACTGAATGTATATAAGCAATACATTTGATTTGTTGTCTAGCATCTTATGCATGATCATATAAAAAATAGTAATATTAATGAATTACACTGTCAGAATCTGATCATAAATGACTTAACAAATTTAAATCATGTAGAAGTTATTTTAGCACTGTTGGCTATTTTGCTTGTAAAACTAACAATTAAATGAAGTGAAGGCACTACTTAAATTTGACAGGTTTGCTTGTAAAAAAAAAAAAAAAAAATAGGGAAGTTTTTTTTTTTTTTTAATAATTCCTAATTGTAGCAGTTATCATACCTTCCTTAAGTTACATTTGTTAGAATTGAAAATATATCTTTTAAATAATTTTAGAAGGTGAGGGGGTCCTGTTCATAATATAAATACAGTTTCAAAGTGATCCCTGACTTCTTAGAGTTATCTGTACTTTTATTTACAAATGTTAAATTTGAAACTACTTATGTCATTGATAATTGTGTACTATTGATGTTGTTTTTTTTTCAACCAATTTGTAATCATAGACAGTAATAAATAAGTACAATTTTAAATTTGACATTTGCAAATAAAAACAAAGTACACATACACTATTTACATTATTCAGACTATTGTCCTCATCTTTTTTGCCATATTTATCACAACGTTTTGGAACGTTGAACTGAATCCTTTATTTCGCTCACTGTGGGTGAAATAAAGGGTTCAGTTCGGCATTCCAACAACCTGAAGAAAGCCGGAGTGTACAACGGCTGAAACGTTGTGATAAATATGGCAACAAAGATGAGGACAATAGTCTGAATAATGTAAATAGTGTACATAAACCTCATCTCAAAAATATAGACAGATACTAAAGTACACATACTTCTTTATGAAATAAGGAATCAGTTTGACACTGTATACAGAACCCTGCTTCTAAAATGATAAATTAATATTTTTCATTTATTGATATTGACTTGAATGAGGTATAATGAATGCAAAATTACAAAAATTGTTACAAAAAACTTCTTTTTTTTTTTTTTTTTTTTAAATGAACAGTCGTTTTTAATCTTCAGGGATAGATTGTCATTGTTCCACCTTTCATGTCTAGGATTATCTTGTTTTGTTCTTATTTAGTACTGCCCTGTTATTGGTTGCCCTGTTTCCACTGAATCAGACTGCATACCCTGACCCAGGGATTGAACTCACAATAGCTTTCATTAAATTCCTGAACCAATGCTTTAATCCATGTGGAAAGATTCCGGATCTCTAAACCTGCTTTTCCTATGCTTGACTGAATTCATCACTGCTTCAGTTCAAAATTCCTTGATGGTTACCCATATTAGCAAACACCTGAAGAAAGCTAAAGAGCACAATGGCTGAAACAACAATGATGAGGATATTAGTCTGAGTGTAAATATTATAAATAAAAAGAATACCCTAGATGACCAGAGCTTGGCAGCTGATCTCTCCTCTGACTGAGTTCTAACAGCTCAGTGTGGAACAAACTGACTAGTCACATTGAAAACCAAACTAGTGATATTCCACCTTCGCCGATTAGGCGCAGAACTTTCATCAATCACAATGTATGGACATTGGGTCTTAAAAGCGGAACTTGTATACATAATCTGGAAAAATGACCAGTTCCCTGGTATAGCTCCAGCAAGTACCAGACTCCTCCTGCTATCCTCTACTTTTACTAGAACTAAATCAGGCTGAAAATGGAGTACATATTCCATATGTGAGCAGGAGCTGCCCAGCCATTGATTTTCACTTTCAATAGTTCAAAAGTGTCTCCACGTTCTTGTAGGTGACAAATTATTTTCTACCCTATAACTCGTTTCTCACAGATGAGACAATGTAAGCCTCTCACTGCCTTATTGCTATTTCTATAGTAAGTGTTCAGATAAACTACACTCTTTATATACAACAGTCCTAACTTTCACGGCTAAGACTCGTCATGCCATGCGCATTGTAGTGAACCACCTTCCACCCCTTGTTATTTTTTTGTTGGAGATATAAGTTCCAATCAAGCAACTTCTTCACCAAAACACTGCCTTGTGGAACTGACTCCCAAGAGGATGCTTTTCTGATCACTACAATCTTAACCTGTTCAAGTCCACGGTTAACTATTACTTTCCACTCACGCATCTGCATAAGGTGTTCCTCTTACCCTGTAACTTTCTACCTTGTGTAGACCCAGGCCTTGTGCAGGGTGAATACCATTCTAAAAAAAAAAAAAAAAAATCAGAATTTTAGACAGAAATAAACTGAAGTACCAAAATATTAAATACATTTACCTGGTAAAGCGCAACTTCTTCGTTGGTCTAATTTACTTTCTAAGACCTTTACAGTTAGGACTTGCTATGCTATGTGCATGGAATCAATCACCCATGTTTCCTCTGCATTGTAAGGAAGAAGTTCCACTCAAACAATTTTTTCTTGAGAACTGTTATTTTCGTAGAACAAGCTCCCACATAGAAGCTTCCCTGAACATTACAATATTAACCTCTTCAATGTCAATGATCAATCACTATTTATCTTAGAAACTTCCTTCTACCTCCTCTCATGGTCATATTACACACCTCATTCAGTAACTGTCTACCATGAGTGGCTCTTGGGCCGTATATTGGGTGAACTTTAGTACCAGGAGTGAAAGCTCTTTAGAACAGATCCAGATCCTTTGTCACTTGTTGGAGGAACCCCCTCCCTGATTGACCATATCTTCAGGAGTTTAGCCATACTCACCATGCATAGCCAATTGCAGGTTGATGAGGCTATAGTTGGAGGTTTTGAATTCAGAGGCCATAGGACCCAGTCTGTCCTGTGATTTACTCATAGCTAGGGAGAGAAGAGATGGATTCATACCTGTCCCGAGGTTATTTGCATATAAGTGAATGTAAAGAACTCAAACATGGCTCTGATTCTTCAATCTGAGCTGCTACCATGCCTCTGAATTTTGTTATTAAAAGAAGATAATAATGATTGCTGGGTGATAATGAAGTCTGTTAAAATAAAATTTAAGTCTGGCAAGTGTAGGAATGGGGTCAGTGGAGTACTTGAAAGTCAGTTGAGTGTGTTTCTGGAACCAGTTTTGTGTCACCTATACATGATGGGAGGGGGAGTAAGTTAACCTGCTAGAAGAAGCCATTACCATTGTGGAACATGATGAGCTTAAAAGGATACAAATGGTCTCTAACAAAATCGATATATGTCACACCTGTTAGGAAAAACTCTGTTCTTCTAGTGGTCCTTGAAAAGTCTAATAAAACACATTGCACATGATTACAGTACTATCATTAACTTTCGCAGTAAACTTAGCTTACTTTTGTGTTTCAAATAGATAAGTTGGGACAGTTTTGGACAAAAGTCCATCCCAGACATCTTTATTCCAACCACCCTCTTATTAAATATTCAGGAACATTCTTTCCACAATTTAGGCTGTGAGCATTTCAGGATAAAAGCCTTTTATCTAAATTTATATATATATATATATATATATATATATATATATATATATATATATATATATATATATATATATATATATATGAAATTTAAAGAAAAACACAGACCACTTTAAGGTTCTATTAGCTATAATTTATTTCACCAGAGATTTTATTCTTCTTTGGATCTTCAGACTTCACTTTCAAGGGTAAAAAATGAATTTAAAATTTACACTTTTGAAAGGCAGTATTAAGCTTATATAAGGTGACATAGAGGGTGCTGAGGGATAGTGTGAGAAACGTGGTCGAGTTTAGAGAGTGAATGGAGAGTTTTAAAATTTATTTTTATTACAATACTTAATTTTGAGGAGGAAGGGGTTAAGGATCAGACATTGACCTATTTAATCAGTGGTCTGTTTTTTCTTTAAATTAAATTATTGGCTCTGACTTAACATTGAGCTCTCCAGATTTCATCCTACTTGTGATAATCCATACAGATTACCAATATTTTCGTTACTTATATATATATATATATATATATATACACACACACACATATTCATTTTTGTTTGGAAGTAAAGTCTGATGATCCGCAGTCCTTTAAAAGGGCTGTGGTGAAATAATTTATTACATGAAACCTTAAAGTGGTCTGTTTTTGTTTAAATTATATATATATATATATATATATATATATATATAAAAATCCAGACACCCCTTTTATTCCAACAACTCCATTTAAAACTAAACTGTAGTTTGGCAATAGGTCATATATGTGGTTAACCACTGAGGTTGGAACTCGTGAGAATAAGGTTTACAATTACATCACGGTGAAACAGTTCTTGTATGGTCACTGAAGTTAAGCAATGTCAATACCTAGATGGGTAACTGCTTGGGAATACCAAGTGCTGTAAGTTTGGACATGCATGTGATGTTGTGGATATTGGCTCAGAATTGTTAATCGGAAATTTGAGTTCTAATTCTCATTGGCTTCGTTATATCCACTTATGTGCAAATACCCTTGGAAAAGGTAGTAATCCACTGCTTCTTCCCTGAGCTATGGGTTAATTAGTAAGACTTGTATCACTAAATCATTATTATCTCAAAAAAAAAAAAGAAAATTCTTCCAATCCAAAATATTTTCTGGCTTTTGATAACCTGTAAAGTCATGAGTATAGTAATAGTCTGCTCAGCTAGTTTGCTAATTTTTATACTAGAGTGAGGTGATCTCTTTTTTAGCAGTATTCATAATTGTTTTGACTTTTGAGTCTACTTTTCATAATATAAAACTGTTGAAAAAGTTGAGCATTATAAATGTAATGAAAACTTTACTTACATGATTCATGCTTTGGTTTTAAGAACTGTTCTTGACTGTCCCTCCCCTTCCAGGTTTTTGTATTTTTAATATATTGTTATATATTACTTTAAGCCTTAATATAGTGGACACTTCTTATTTGAAATAGACACCACATTTACATTTAATAAAACAATGTGTATTACATCTATTGGCTTGTACATTTGAGAAATATTACAAAATGTGTCCTCAGGCAAGGATCAAACTTCCAAGCCCCCTTTGTAGGTGAAAGTACAGTTTGATCTAGCATACTTTTTTACTGCTTGGCTGTGAAAGATTTCATAATAATTAAGGCTCTTTTTGAATGAGTGTCCACTGTAATAATGTTTGAAGTAATAAAAATGTCAAATTATAAATAAATCCACTAATTCTTTTATTTTTATATATATATATATATATATATATATATATTTAAGCTTAAAATAAGCCTCTCACTACTATATTGGTATTATTATGCCAGATGTTCAGACAAGTCATGTTTCTTAGTTTCACCAGCTCAGACCTTGGCAGCCAGTACCCACAATGCCATGTTCATGGTGGTAAACCCTCTTTTTGTGTCCCTTTCATAAAAAGTGAGTTCCACTCAGAAGGATTCTTCTCCAGAACACTTACTTTCTGAGACAAACTCCTGAGAGATTGCTTCCCTGACAACTACAATCTCTAAGTTTGATATCTATCCTACTTATTCGCATAATAATAATACCTTTCCTCACAACAATCTCACTCTCCCTTGAGTAGCCCTTGCATTCAGTGAACTAACAGTGTAAAAAGAAAAAAAAAAAGGAAAATTCTTAAATATGCAAAATAAATTATATTCCACAAGGCAGTAGTATTTTCCAACTGGTGAGAGTCTTAGAAAATTAGAATTTGGGGATCAAAAGCTGTCCTAAAGTATCTCTAGGAATGACATTGTTTAATGTAATTTATTCAAAAATTATAACATAAATATGTTATAAAATCACTACAAAAATAGCCATTTTGTTTCAACACTTTGGTATTTTATGAAGTGATGGTGTTGAGGCATTAAAATTAACAAGCCATCTTTTGCTCTAATTAATGACAGACTTGAATCATTTTGAACATCTGCTATATTTTAATTTTGGGCAGGTGAAGGGGTTTACTATATTTTTAAAGGAAGAGTGCTGAAAATTGGAGCATTTGTAGCTATAATCAATGTAGACATAGAAATCAACACTGATGGCCATACAGTGTTGATTTCTCTTTCTCTCACTATATATATATATTATAAATTAATTGGTTTAAAATATGTTTTTTTTTTTTTGCTACACAGTTCTAACCATGTTTCAAAAATGGAAGCTAAAAGCTCCGAATTTAATTTTGTAATTAAATTAAAGACATTAGTTCCATTTCTATATCTATAAAAATATAGGATTATATATCTTACTGTTCTTTTTTTTTATTTATATATATATATATATATATATATAAATATGTGTGTGTGTGTGTGTGTGTGTGTGTGTGTGTATATATATATATATATATATATATATATATATATATATATATATATATATATATCTGTTGAGGCAAAAAAGAAATGGGACACAAAGTAGTAATAAAACCAAAAAATAAGCTCTTATTTTTTGTGTCCTAATACATTTTGTGTTTTTCTTTGCTTTTATTTTGAAAGCTTAATTTAAAAGGAAAGAAAAGATTAGATAAAATTCTTGCAATTCGCTTTTCATAAAGATTTAAGTGATTTACTCATTGATTCTCATTCATTCATTCATTCATAATTTATTTTCTCATTCATTTTATCTTCTTGTTCACTTGCACATTAACTTAAATTTTCTTTTCGAAAATTCTTTCATTCACTTTCTAATTCACTTGTTTGTTAATTCCTTCCTTTGTTTATTCAATAAATCGTTCTTTTACTCACTCACTCAATCACTCTTTCATTCATCATTTCGTTCACCTGCCCTACTTATTAATTCATTCTTTCACTCTATTCATTGGCTTACTTTCATTTACTCATGCCTTTGCTTATTCACCCTCACCCACACAGATTCACTTGTCCACTCTCTTACCCATAAGATCTCTTGTTCACCCACTTGTTTAATCAATCTCTTCTTTTTTCACTCACTCCTTCTTTTACCCTCTCATTTGCCCACCCCTTTACTTTCTGAATTGGTATTGATTTTTTCTCTTCTCTTTCTCCCATTTGGAGTTATTAGGCTTACCTTTGCTTCTATTCCACTTCGTGAGAAATAACAATCGTTACATTATTTCTATGATGCTTTTTTTTACTTCTTCTCCAACTCTCCTCTATTCTACCTGCTGTGTCACTTACCAAAAACTACTAGTTCATTTTGTTGAGCTTACCTGGCACTAATCATTCAGACAACGTCCACTTGTATGTACCAAGACAATCACTCTGTGATCTACTTGCTTGGGCCTTCACTGCCTCCCAATCCACCACCACCGGGGTTTTCTTCAATTGTTTGTCATTCTTTCAGTAATCTGATCATTGTACTGGTATTAACACCTTACCTTGTGTACATGTATTACAAACGGCTGTTACCATTACCCCACCCTACTGTGATTATCGGTACTATTTTGCTCTTTTGCACTGACAAACGATGGTGACATTACTGATCTGAAGGAAAGCAATCGTTATCAAAATAGGTAAAAGGATTTTCCAACATTTGCTTACATGGTGCCTCTAGGTATGTACCTGTTCTGAGTATATATGACTTTGTTCAGATTTATGTTGATGCCTGAGATGTGAACTGTGTTGTAATTTTGTTTCATACAAAATGGATTTAAAATTATTTTAAAAAAAAAAAAAGTCTGTATTTTGTTAAATTGTACCTTTTTGGAAATGTAATACAATCAGGTTCTCTTTTTTTTCTTTTTTGTTTATTTTTGTTTAGCTTATGCACATGTATAGGCATGTGCATATAAGTACCTACAAGCATGAAAGATACATATTCAAGCACACATTTGTGCAGTTTGAGATGCAACTCAATCATTACATATGCATGTTTCTTTTTGTATATTTAAGCATACACATACGCACACAATATTAAATTTATGCAATGTTGACTTTGTTTTATATTTGATTCTTACATTAATATAAATGACAAACTATACATATTTTAATTATCTTGTATGTAATATATATAACAATGAAAACCAATTCTGCATATTTCATTCTTAGAATAATAATACTGAAATATTAATGCCTTTATAAGGCTTATATTTTTATCAGCCATTTCTTTTTCTTAGTACACTATGGGACCCAGACCTCCCCCAAGTCTGTCAAACATAGGAAATAATGGGCCTTTTCCTATATGATGGCTAGTATGTTGGCAGGGGGTTTGAATTCAGACTTAACCTTTTTATAATCTGGCTGCCCTCCCAAGACTAAAAAGTCAAATCTACCCTGCTATTTTAAAAACCTATAGTTGGGAGAGGGTGGTGAAGAAGACCTGGACTCGTACCTTTCTCAAGGGCATTAGTCTGAATTGAAAGCAATCTGTATGTATTCATGTGTTTATACACACAGTCAAGCAGCTAAATGCATAAACAGTCTAATACTCCTCTGTGTTTGTGTGTATATATATATATATATATATATATATATATATATATATATACACACACTCACACACAAATACCAGTCTACTCATGACATTGTAATTATTATGAATTATATTTTTTTTTCCTAAGATTTTTCTAATTCTAAGAAAATCCAATTACTTCCTAATTAATTCTAATTATGAACTGAAAAATTGGCATAAATGAACATCAATTGATTAAAGATTTTATCCATTTTTTAAATTTTACTTTCTGTAAAGAAATAAAGTAAATGTTATATTTTTCTTTTTTTTTTTTTTTGCAAATTTTAACCAAACCTACTATAAATTGTATTACCATCATCTTTGTGAGTGTGTCTGTATAAACTTCATTAAATTAGTTCTAGTATAAAGACATTTATCTCAATTATCAGCATAAATTTGTGATTTCCTATTAGGAATTTGCTTATCTATAATTAATTTCTTCTTCCATCCACAATGGTTATGTTTGATTTAAATCAGCACCACCATTTAATAGTATTTAGTATCATTAAGTCACTCTCAATGCAAACACGTGTGTGTGTGTGTGTGTGTGTGTGTGTGTGTGTGTGTACGTTAACACATACCTTTAATGTTAAATCACTGAGAATGTTGAATATTGTATGTTATGGTTATTTTTCTAGATGACTGTCTTTATTTTAGCTATGACAGAAAGAAAATTTTAATTAAAGCTTATCAGTTTGTTATTATTATTACAATTATCATTTTTCTTCTAATTGTTATTAGTGGTCTTCCCTTGTTCTTTGGGGTTTCATAATGTCTAATAATTTTCCTTTTTTTCTCTCCCTTTTCCACTGATTAAATATGCACAATGTCAGAAATGGACTGCAATGTTAAGGTTTTTTTCTTTTAAATATTTTTCTATATTTTATCAATTTAAAAAAAAGGTACCAACATAATTATATAAATTTGTGATTTAAGGTTATGGTTTTAAAAACAAATCTTAGTACATTAAACCTTTTTTTTTTTTTTTTAAATCATTTTGCCCCAAGCAAGGCAATAAAGCCACTAGGATGCAAGGGATTACTGATAGTGAAAGAATCTGATAAAAACATGATTGAGGAAAGAGAACAGTAAAAGAAAAAGAATTTAAGGAAACAGAAGATTGACAATTGAAATTGAAATTTTTGAATATTGAAGTTGAATGGAAAGCTAGAAGCCAAAAGTGAAGAAACTGTTAGCTTACAACTTATGGTTACATCTAGCTATTTCAACAGTAAAATGAGACCTAGCTGCCAACCAAGTATTACACTTAAATTCTTGAAGTTGAAGTACCAAAGAGGAAAGCTCATCAGATCAATTACCATGAAAACATTTATAGAAGAGGCACAAGTAAACTTTGTTATGGTAGATGGAATGTGACTGAAATCAAGATGCCAGGTCAGGAATGATAACATTGCAGATTCTTCTATGGATTTTATCAATAATCTCTAGATACATAGCAAAAATAATGGTTTAAAACTGATTTGTTTGTAAATTGAATTATTACTCTTAAATTATTGTTATTAGGTCCTTTGTTAGTGTCAGTATATCCCAAGAAACTTTCCACAATGGTTCTTCACAATTTCCTGTCGTTTGTAGCTCTTAATAAATTTTGTTTTTTGTTATCTCTCCTAAACCCTGTTTTGTCATCTATTTACACAAGTTTGTTAGGTAATTTATGCAGTGTTTTCCTTTGTCCCTCTTGCCTTTAATATCTCCTGCGAGTATCAGATTTTCTAAACCTTCTTTTTTCATTATGTGCCCTAAAAATTTCAGCTGTTTCTTTTTGATGTTAATTACAAGTGTCCTTTTTGTTTACATTTTCTCTAAAAGTTTGTTGTTGCCCACTTATTCAGTCTATGGTATTCTCAGCATCCTTCTGAAGAACCACATTTCTGTTGCTTCAAAGAAAAACCCTATATGAAGTCAGATTCAAAGGTTGAATTGTCAACCTTGTGTTTTCTCAAGTTTCAACAGCTTTTACATCACTCTATAAACTTTCCTGACTGCCAATGAACATGTCTGTTTGTTGGGGGTCTATCAATAAACCTGGCTGTCTTTCCTCCTACCATGAGTTAATATTTTGGGGAAATTAGAGAATGGAAACAAAGAGGAAACTTATACTTAACATCAGGAAGAGGCAGTTGAAATTTCTGGGGCACATAATGAGGAAGGAAGGCTTGGAAAATTTTATATTTACAGGACAGATTGAGGGAAAGAGGGATGGGGAAAGCAACATGTGACATACTTAATGGGCTTGAGCAAGTGTATGGCAGAACAGGGTCTGGGAGAAATATAACAAAATGACAAAACTTATTAAGAGCTAGAATGGACAGGAGGAGGTGGAGGGACATCATTACCTATGTCCTGAAGGAACATCGCACATAAAAGAAAGATGAACCAATCTTCAAAGACTGAAGATGTAAGTCAAATTTTAAAAAGGAGAAAATTTTATTCTAGAGTTTTGTTTGAAAATATAGATCTTTGTCATCATAAAATGTTTAAACATAAAAATATCAATTATTTTTTTTATAATTATGATGAAGAACAATAAAAACTGATCATGTTCTGACCATATAATTTGTTTTGTAACCTTCACTTGCTTTACAACTAATGTTTCATAATAATGTTATGAGTCTTCAAATAATCTTATGACTAATGTTTCATAATAATCTTATGAGTTAAAACAAAAATGATTACTAATATCTCTGTTGAAAAAGAAAAAAAAAAATTTTTCAATTAAATAAAAATAAAAAAAAATATTCAGATATTATTTTTCTGGAAGTTTAAATAAAATTTCCAGACAAGTATTTGTATATTTTGTGGTTGACATGGTAAAAGACAGCATTTTATTGGTGAAAAATCAATCCAATTATTGAAAAATATTTTATATAAGATTTTCATTTGAACTTGTGAAGAAACTGATTCATACTTGTTGAAGCTGTTTAACAGTTTTATAATTTCAAAATAGTTCAAAGAATCAATGATTTTTAACATTATTATAATTCTTCATCTTATTATTATTTGTTGCACTAATTGAGTTTTCACCCCATCCTGCCTCTAATTGGAACTAGAATGACAATCATACTTAAAATTAGAAAGAAACTTGACATTTCTGGGATAAATTATGAGGAATGATAGCTGGAAATGTTCACTGGAAATCAAGTGATAGCCAGTTTTTCATAATGATCTCAGGACATTTTTTTTTTTGTTTTTTTTTCTTACACAAATTTTCTATTCTTTTAACTTCTTTACAAAGCTTTTCAGGACTGTTTCAATCTCACCAAATTTAAATTAGAAAAGTAATGGAATGCCTTTGTTTTTATTAATAAAACCGGTCAGAAAATACATCCTATTTTAATTTTATAAGCATACAAATGCTTTTTACATCATATCTGAATGTTTTTTTTTTTTTTAAATATTCTTTGAAATTAGAGGTTAAATACAAAAAGAAATGTATTTGTACCTATTTTTGATTTTGAATAAATGTACTTGTTGCATATTACACTGACAAGTAAACAATTTTGGTATGTGATTTGTCACAAATAATGAAGTAAATGATAATTGGTA